ATCATGTATGATGTATGTGTGAAGTTTGATTATGATTGGTCCAGGCATTTCTAAGATACAGGTCCGGATGCACAGAGGTCAAAACATAAGTCCCTGTTTTCGGACTGTGTTCGAACGGGGACTAAAAATTCAGGAGACTACTTTTTGAAACGCGTTGCTTGAATAAAACAGACCAGACACATTCAATTTACCAGACTATTGAACAACTAGGAAAAGTGAAAAAAAAAACTTCTTATCACCAGCATAAATGTGTAATTATTTTTTTTACAAAAAAAGTAATTTTTCACTTTTGAATAAGTAAAGCACCGTAGAATGCAGATACGGGCATGGCAAACACACCTTTGAAAAGCTTGAAATCTGGCGATTCCAAAAATATATACTTTCCTGGGTCTATTTGTAGTCATTTGGTCACAATTAGAAGATGAAAACAAGTATACAAATAATAGTCCCGCGACCTTAAACTGACTGTAATTTGTCAAACTCAGATCAAACCAGTTCAAATTGGCTGTTATTTGTCAAACTCTGGTTAAGCCAGTTTAAACCCAGTGTTTAAAGTGAAAGTTTGTCTTGGGCTTTTTTTATTGTCTGTGCATAATCCTGTTTGCTGTTTTTTTTTTTAAAATGGTGATATTTCTATTTCCACTATGAAGTGTTACATTCTGTAACAATACTGCTCAGAAATAAGTGTGATTGACATGCACTTGAACAACTCTCGTAGATGGATAAGAGCACTGCATATCCTTACAACTCCTTGGTGTAATATAACTTGGCTGTCACCTGTCACTGAAACATTCATCTTAACATTATTTCTGGTCACTGGTAGCATAGTGGTTGTCGCATCAGACTCATGATTACTAAACCCAAGTTCAAATCCTACCTTAGGCTGAACACTAAAAAGGGTCGGCCCCTACCCTGGGTGAGTGTGCTACAGACTCAATGGGAAGGCACCAACGAATGCGACTTTGAGGGAACCTTGGTTAAGGTAGATGCTTGTGTTTGGCTGAGCCTGGTTGATGCCAGGATAACACATTAAAATTGCCATTTAATAGCAAGATGGCCGCACAGCCCTGTCACGTTGTCCCAAACATGAATATG